TTTTTAAAATTTTGAAATTGTTTTTATAAAATCCTATCCAAATGGGGCAAAGAGTATACAATAGGAAGAATTCACTGCTTTTTTTTTTTTTAATGCAGACTTTTTCACATAGAGCAATTATCCTGGCTCTACCACAATAATAGTTTTCACAGTAACCCAGAGCAGTATTGTGTCCTGGCTTCTGGAAACTGAATAGAGACCTTTAGTTTAGTTCTGTCCTAACCACCTAGAAATACGGTGCTCTAGGAATTAGCCTACAACTCTCATTTCCTCAGTCAAAATGTTTGGTTCTTATCGTTTTTGTTTTGGCCCTCATAGGCACAGCATGCTTCATATGTTGCATGATCTAATGTTTGCGCATCAGAATGTTTATTACTCTTCAACTATTCATGTGTATTTTCATATTTATCTCTAATTTCATTCCTATTTTAACCTTACACTTTTTGCTGGGACTTTCAGTAGTCTCCTTGCTTTTATACATATCAGATAGATGTTAATAATGTTCATTAAACTGCTCAAACCTAAACAAAATCGCAGCAGACGTGCTTGATGAACTGCCAATGTCAGAGACCAAAACACCAGCAAGTAACCATCTGCTGATGACAATTGATGACATTTACTTTCCACATGGTTTTATGCCTATGAATAGTGAACTTACTGTGCACCAAGTCTTATAACAGGAGCTGGGAATGCAGTGGGGCATCAAGTCAGATAGAGTTTAAGCTTTCCCTAAATTCACAGATCAGAAAATGTGCAACTGCCATGCCACATGGTGAGATAATGGGAGCTATAAATGCATAAAGGAGGATCACTGGATCCAAACTTGGAGAGAAGACTTTCTGGGGGAAATTATGTCTAAACTGAGCTAAAAGGAAAAAAATAGGACCGAGACAGAGATAGAGGGTATAAGGTCCGATTCAGGACACAGGACCTAGAATCTAGGTATACATTGCACTATAACTGTGTGACCTTGACAAAGCTCCCAATGCAGTCTCCTAGTATTAAAATGAAAAATGTTAGCTTATATCCGTGTCTCACAAAACGTTTTGTAAAATATGTACATACTGCCTTCCTTTCACCCATAATAACTGCCATCTTCCAGTTATTCACCAAGATGACAAACACAAAGGGAAAGAGGAGAGACATGTTCTCCAGGTCTTTTACAAAATATACAGTTGTTCCTTTGGGCACATAGTTGCACATTTACAAAAAAGGTGACATCATAGACATTAGGGGAATGGGTACTGTTCAAAAAGGAATGCCCCATAAATGTTACCATGACAAAACTTGAGGAATCTACGTTACCCAGCATTGTAAACAAACAAGTTAAGGGCAAGGTTCTTGCCAAGAGAGTAAATATGCACACTGAGCGTATTATGCACTCTAAGAGCCAAGACAGCTTCCTGATATGTGTGAAGAAAAATGATCAGAAAAAGAAGGAAGCCAAAGAGAAAGATATCTGGGTTCGATTGAAGCACCAGCTGGCTCCACCTAGAGCTCACTTTGTCAGAACCAATGGAGAGAAACCTGAGCTACTGAAATGCATTCCCTATGACTTCAGGGCATAATAAGTATTAAAAAAAAAAAAAAAAGACCTCTGGCCTGTAAAACAAACCAAAAAAACATGCACACAAGAGAAAGGGGAGAAGAGGCTACATTATCAACTGACTTTGGAAGATGACGTTCAAGGGGCCAGCACTGTGGCACAGGTTAAGCCTCTGCCTGCAGTGCCAGCATCCCATGTGGGCATCTGTTCGAGTCCCGGCTGCTCCACTTCTGATCCAGCTCCCAGCTAATGCGCATGGGAAAGCAGATGGCCCAAGTGCTTGGGACCCTGCACTCATGTGGGAGATCTGGAAGAAGCTCCTGGCTCTTGACTTTAGCCTGGCTCAGTCCAGGGTCTTCTGGCCATCTGGGGAGTGAATCAGTGGGTGGTAGAGATTTCTTCCTCTCTGTTTCTCTCTCCTCTTTCAAATAAATAAATCTTTTTTAAAATGATGGTCAAGTAGAATTAAAAGGTTTATTGAAGAGCTCAGATATTTTGTAGTGCTTGTATGTTTTATGAATTTATAAGGCATGACTATATCTTCACAATATCAGTTGGCAGCAGAAATTTTGTTAGCAGACTCCCCTGCAGGATTCTGCAATATTCTACATTCTTGCAATATTCTTGCAGTTATTACGGGGGGCAAAGAGGGGAGTTCTTGAAAATGCTGGTCTGTGCCAGGCTAATCTTCCTGATCACTGGATCCCTTTGCTAGATAAAGACAAAGTCTGACAACCAATCTGCTGATGTTAAGACACTAAGTCAGTGGTAAGGGAAATCTAACAATCCTGAACATAGCCTCTTAATAGCAATAACAACAGCAATGTTCATGTTTATTGAGTGCTCTGTATGACAAGACACTGAACTATGTACCTTATACACATTATCTCATTTTATCCTTGCAACAATCTAATAAGACTTACTATTATTATCATCCCAATTTACAATACAAGGAAACTAAGTATGAGAGAGACTGAATAGTTTACCTAAACACAAACTTTTCAAGGAACAGGCAGAACTGGGATTGAAACCCAGGCTGTCTGCTGCCAAAGCTACTGTGCTAGGTGTGCTACAGGGAGGGTGGCCATATAACTTCTTATTCAAACTGAGACACTTTTGAGGGAAGAGAGCTCTAAAAATCACTATATAATTTTTGAAATATTTATCTGAAACAAAAATTGATTTTATTATATTGGTATGCAGTTTGTCAAAAGTAAACCCTTTGTTTTAAAAATGTTAATGGGAAAATGGAATTGAAGAAGGTATACAGCCTAGCAGTTCAGATGCCCATGTCCCACACCAGAGTGCCTGGGTATATGTGTCAGCTCCAGCTTCTGACGCCAGCTTCCTGATAATACAGACCCTGGGAGCCAGCAGCAATGGCTCAAGTGGTTGTGTCCCTGCCACCCACATGTGAGACTTGGCTTATGTTCCTGGATCTTGGCTTCAGATACTGTGGGCATTCAGGGAGTAAATGGATGAGGGATCTCTCAATTTTTCAAATAAAGAATAAATATGGATTTAAAATGTATGTTTATTTTGGTGTAAATCACTGAAAGCCATGTATTTTTTCCATAAAAACTGTTCTGTCCTTTCTTGAGATGCCCACCTGGTCTGTCAGGTATACTCTCATAACCAGTCTAAATGCAGACTGGGCACTCAGTTCTTTCCCAAGATACCTGCCTGGTCTATCATGTGTATTTCTCTTTATTAAACTTTGTTTCCTCATTTACCACTACTCTCTGTATTATGTCTAAATTCTTTCTAGCATGAAGACAAGAAGTTCTGAACAGACATCTCATAACATTTGGTGGAGCCAACCAGGAGACAATATGATCAACTTCAAAGCCTGAGAACTCACCCTGAGGAATGCTCCATGTCTAGCCCTCTTCTAGCTTTTCCCTTGCATTGTCTGGTGCCAACCGAATTATCTTTGCCAGTATTTCATGGAGACAGAGACTTGCCCACTTTCTTTTAACCAGACTATCATGGCCTTTCCCTGCTCTTAAAACCAAAGTCTCTTTGCCATATGCATGCAGAGTATCTTACAAGAGACTGAGACCAACATCTCTCTACTTAGGCCCTCTTGGCTACCCCTCCATCCCATCTTTCCTAACCTGCCCAGGTGCTGTTTACCACCCCCTGCACTTCTCAAATGTTAGGAAGTGGGGAATGTCACATCCGTCCAGAGAAAACCCAATGCCTAATCTCAGCTGGCCATCCCTTCAGAAAGGAAGCTATGTACCTCATTTCCCCTACCTCTTTTGCCATAATTTTGAAAAAGCACTGGTGAGAACTGGTCATGTTTTTTTAAAATTATTTATTTGAAAGGTAGAGTTACCGAGAGGGAAAGAGAAAAAGAGAGAGACCTTCCATCTGCTGATTCACTCCTCAGATGGCCACAACAGCCAGGGCTGGGCCAGGCCAAAGCCAGGAGCAAGGAGCACCATTCAGGTCTCTCATGTGTATGGTAGGGATCCAAGCATTATTAGGAAGCTGGAATTTGAAGCAGCACTGGGGCTTAAACCTAGGTAATCTGCTGATATGGGATACAGGGGTCCCAAACAGCAACTTAACTGCCATACCAAATGTCCACTCTTATAGAGGCAATTTTTTAAGTGAGTTTTGTGGAAATAGTTTTTGAAGAATTTTTTTGTCTTCATGAAAAGAGTTCTCACATTTATTTAAAGATATATAGGTTATGGTTATAGAAGCAAATTTCACTGAGTTGTTAAATACAAAGTATGATTGACTATGATGCTTAATTCAGCAATCTATTATCCACAATGTGTTTGCTGCCATTTAGCTACTTACCCAAACATCCCTATTTTTGTTCTTAAACATGTGCCCAAATAGGGTGGAAAAAGAAACACCCAGCACTTGCTAAAAAGAAACTTAAAAAAGGCCAGCGCCACGGCTCAATAGGCTAATTCTCCGCCTAGCGGCACCGGCACACCAGGTTCTAGTCCTGGTCGGGGTGCCAGATTCTGTCCCGGTTGCCCCTCTTCCAGGCCAGCTCTCTGCTGTGGCCGGGGAGTGCAGTGGAGGATGGCCCAAGTACTTGGGTCCTGCACCCCATGGGAGACCAGGAGAAGCACCTGGCTCCTGCCTTCAGATCAGCGCGGTGCGCCGGCCACAGTGGCCATTGGAGGGTGAACCAACGGCAAAGGAAGACCTTTCTCTCTCTCTCTCTCTCACTGTCCACTCTGCCTGTAAAAAAAAAGAAAGAAAGAAAGAAAGAAAGAAAGAAAGAAAGAAAGAAAGAAAGAAAGAAAGAAAGAAACTTAAAAAAAAAAAAAAACTGAATTCCTAGGGCAGTTCTGTTTGACTGTAGCCCATACACGAACAGTGTATTCATGTGGGGAAGCCATATGCCCAGTGGTTTCTCAGCTTGAATTGTATGAAAGCCCTAGAGATTTTCTGTGTTGTCCAAGGAAGGAGCAGGAAATTCCATTTACTGAATCCAGTCAATGTTCAGGCACCGTGCTATGAATGCAAACATATCTGAAACTTCTATCACTTTGGTTGTGGGTTTCCCTGCCCCATGGCCTGCTTTGGTGTCCACATGGATGAGGAGGGGGTTGCTTTGCTTCTGGCTGCGACCCACAATATACTGCAGGGTGGCAATGAATTTCAGAGAGTGGAGTGGGACCACACGGTCATCATGGTCAGCGGTAAGCAGCAGCATGGATGGGTACTGGACATCATCTGCCTCCGGTAACTTCACATTATGCAATGGAGAATACTTGACAAGCCATTCAAAGTGCTGCTTGTTTTCTGAGCATCCATAATCAGTGGTCCAGGCATGCCCAATGGTGTATTTATGGAACTTAAGCATGTCCATCACTCCAACTTGGGCAATAACAACCAAAGAGGTCAGGACGCTGATTTGCACAAGCAGCCACTAAGAGGCCTCCATTTGAACCTCCATTAATACTCAGCCTCTTTGGAGACGTGTAACCTTCCTTGATCAGATACTCAGCAGCACACTGAAAGTCATCAAAGCAGTTCTGTTTGTTGGCCAAGGTACCACTTTTATGCCACATCTCTCCATATTCGCCACCTCCTCTGATGTTGGCCACTGCAAGGATGCCACCCATGTGCCTCACAAAAATAAGCCTGGACACACTGTAGGTGGGTGTGATAGAAATGTTGAAGCCACCATAGCCATATAAAAAAGCAGGATGAGAGCCATCCAATTTTATGCCCTTTTTATGCACAATGAACATGGGAATCTTTGTACCATCCTTGCTAGGGTAGAAAATCTGGATTGTCTGGTATTCAGAAGCATTGATTCCTTTTACAGTCACTTCTCGGAAAACTCTGGGCTCCAGCTTCTCTTTGGTAAGATCACAGTGATAAATGATACCTGGAGATAAGAAGGAAGTAAACTGGTAGAAGATCTCAGTGTCCTTCTTCTGGCCACTGTAGCCCACAACACTGCCAACCTCAAGTGGGAAGGGCTTGAGGAGAGCACCGGTGGTCAGGTTATGGAGCTTCAGGATGTTCTTCACATCATGGAGGTAGCATAAGATCAAGAAGTTGGACCTGATACAAGCCACCCATTCTAAGACATCTTTCTCATGCTCAGGAACAAGCACTTTCCACTTAGACTCATCAGGATCCATGAAGTCAATATTGATCAGGCGATAGTTGGGAGAATGGCGATTGGTCTTGAACGTGAACACTGTCCCTTCATTGGTGACATAGTCATATTCTCCATCAAAGTTGTCAATCAGCTTTACCCACTTCAAGATTCCAGTGATGCCATTCGGTTCCTGCTGTAGATCACAGTACCAGAGTCGGTTAACTGGATCACATCCTTCCCTTATTGATAAAAGGACATAGCAACCATCATCAGATAACTCAGCACCACCCATCCATTTAGGCTCATCAGGAAACTCAGCACACAAAATGTCTTCTCACTGATCAGTCCCCAAGACATAATAGCAGAGCTTTTGGTGGAGATCAGTGGATGTCTCTGTACCATCACTTTTTCCATCATGTTGGGGGTATGAGTTGTAGAATAATCCCTTCCCATCATGGGTCCAGCCTGGAAACTGGGCTAGTGGAGAATTTTGCTCACTCCTAGTGGTCAATAGGCAGAAACCTGGCACAGAGAAGCAACAACTCAGGAGGCAGGTCAAGAAGTAAAGCATCAACCCAGAAGGCTGCAGCAGTAGATGAACCTGGCAGAGAAGAGAAGCTGTGACCTGTAGGAAGAGAGCTGTAACATGGAGAAAGCTGTGCTGCTCCTGAAGAATCTGGCAAGAAGAATCAGTCTCGTCTCTCAAAGGAAAGATGCAGACCCAAGTGGCTACCACTATAGACTACAGACTATAGCCAGAGCCATAGACTTCTGCCACTGTTCCCAGAACACCAACTCCAGAACACCACTGCACCACAACAGGGGCCCCTAATATAATTTTTGTAACAGAAAATAGGACAGCATGTTTAAAATAATGATTTTTTTAAAAATTTTATTTATTTGAGAGGTAGAGTTACATGCAGTGAGAAGGAGAGATAGAAAGAGGTCTTTCATCTGCTGGTTCACTCCCCAAATGGCCACAACTGCCAGAACTGAGCCAATCTGAAGCCAGGAGCCAGGAGTTTCTTCCGGGTCTCCCACACGGGTGCAGGGACCCAAGCACTTGGGCCATCTTCTACTGCCTTCCCGAGCCACAGCAGAGAGCTGGATTGGAAGAGGAGCAGCCGGGAGTAGAACTGATGCCCATATAGGATGCCGGTGCCACGGACAGAGGATTAACCTCCTGCGCCACAGCACTGGCCCCCAATAATGATGTCTTAAAATATAAGTAGGACAGGGCTAAGAAACTCGTCAGACTATGTGAATAATTACTCTACCTCTACTATTTTTAAATCTTTAGACAATCAACACCAATAACATTTTGTTATAAAGCACAAATATATGTTTCTTTTTTTATAGATTTATTTATTTTAAAAACAGAGTAACAGGAGGAGAGACAGAGAAAGATATTCCATCTGCTGCTTTACTCACCAAAAGGCCATGATGGTTAGTGCTGGATCAGGCTGAAGCTAGGTACCTGGAACTTCATCTAGGTCTCCCACATGGGTAGAAGGGCCCAAGCACTAGAACCATCTCCCATTTCTTTCCCAGGCACATTACCAGCAAGCTGTATCAGAAGTGGAGCATCTGAGACTTGAATCAGTGCTTATATGCGATTGCCAGCATTGCAGGTGGCAGCTTAACCTGCTGCACCACAACGGAGGCCGGTTTTTATTTATTTTTTTTTTATAATCATTTATTTTTGAAAGGTGGAGTAGCACATACACATTTGCTGATTCCAAATGTTCACAAATGTCAGGGCTGGGCCAGGCAGAAGCCAGGAACCAGGAATTTCATCAGGGTCTCCCACGTGGGTAGTAGGGACTCAAGCAATTGAACCATCATCTGCTGCCTCCCAAGATGTGCTTTATCAGGAAGCTGGGTCAGAAGCAGAGGTGAGACTTGATCTCTGGCATTCCCAAGTGGGATGAGGGTGTTCAAGCAACAGTTTAACATTCTGCACCACAATACCTGCCCCTCCATGAACTTTTTGAAGTCTCATGTGTACTTCTGTTACTCAGAATCCCACTTAGATTGCCTTTTTTTTTTTTTTTTTTTTTTTTTTTGACAGGCAGAGTGGACAGTGAGAGAGAGAGACAGAGAGAAAGGTCTTCCTTTGCCGTTGGTTCACCCTCCAATGGCCGCCGCTGCAGCCGGCGCACCGCGCTGATCCGATGGCAGGAGCCAGGATCCAGGTGCTTTTTCCTGGTCTCCCATGGGGTGCAGGGCCCAAGCACCTGGGCCATCCTCCACTGCACTCCCTGGCCATAGCAGAGAGCTGGCCTGGAAGAGGGGCAACCGGGACAGAATCCGGCGCCCCGACCGGGACTAGAACCCGGTGTGCCGGCGCCGCAAGGTGGAGGATTAGCCTATTGAGCCACGGCGCCGGCCAGATTGCCTTTTCTTTACCACATCTCAATACTTAGAGATGACTCCTTCTATGATGGTATTTAATTGATGCATTCAATATTAGAATCTTATATATGCCTCATAGCCTGTTCCATTGGTTCTTTCCTCTCTGGGTTTGCCATCACTACCATTAGTCTTCTAATTAAGGGTGGGGATGTATCATTTCTTCCTCTAGAGTTTGCAACAATCTGGGTGCTACGTACAGTCCAGCCTCGTGGAGTGTAATCTATGGTGCTGATTCATCCTATGCCAGGTTCTCAAACTGTATCTCACAGAGGCAGCCTGTTAAACATGTGATTCCTGGGTCTAACCCCAGAGGTTCCACTGAGTATGTAACTGGGGAAAAGGTGGGCTTGGGAATTTAATTAGCAGGTTAAACAAGCATGCTGTGTGATGAGGAACATGACTATAAGGCCATATAAATTTTGTGGAGGGCCCCAGGCTAATTTGCTCTAGCTCTGACCCTCACCTATGCTCACTGTATCACTACTGACACTGTACTCCTATGTTAACTTCTCTATGTTCTCATGCTATACAAAACCCTGCCAATTGCCCATGATTGATTTCTCAATAGCCTAGAAGTCTTCCCTTTATGCAGGACACACTTTGATCTGTGGCATGTGCTCTGACCACACATATACGGTTGCAAGGTGCACAGACATTTCTTACTTTTCCTACTGCCCTGTGTCAAGAGATGGCTGCCAATCCTCTTCCTTATCATGTTGAGACATGGCTGGAATTTACAGTTCTCAGCAATCAACAGTTTTCTCTGTGTTTCTACATTGTTGGTTCCTCCCAGTGTGGTAGGCACAGGGTATGCCTTCATAGGAGGACTTCAGCTCAGCTATGAAGAGTGTACTCAGATGCCAGCTGTCAGCTACTTCAAAGTCTACCTCCACTTCTCATCACAAAGTCATGTTCTTCCCAGGACAAGATTGAGAGGGAAGGAAGGAGAGGGAGAGGGAGAGGGAGGGGGGAGGGGAAGGGGGAGGGTCAGAGGTAGGAGAGATGAAGGCTCAGCTCTTCTAACACATGTGGGACACTTTGGTGACAGAACTCAACTTCAGACCTTCCAGTGGATCTGGCCAAGGCTTTGTTGGGCTGACACCACCATTCCAGTTTCTCTCTGCTCAATGTTTCCTCCCATATCTTCCTTCCATAGCTATTGATCTTTAAATAAACATCTTACACCTCAAATTCTATTTCAACACCTGAAATTTCACCTGCTTTGGCAAAGGTTAACATGTGATATTTCACTTTCTTCTGCCCTTAAAACAACCACCAAAGTACACAAAGTCCAGGGCAACACCGCTTTGCAAATATAAATATTTCTCTGCCTTTCAGGGCCAGGTGACCCAAACCTGGTGATCACACTCAGGTATATCACACTAGCCTGCACGTAGCAATGATGCTTCCCTATAGCCACATGAAAGGCTACATGTGTTGAGTTGTGGGACATGAAGCAGGGGAAGCTTCGTGGAGCAGGCTGAATTTGAGTTGAACACTTGAAAGTAAGGGGGAGGGAACAGGCAAGAGAACGAATATGAACTGAATCTTGTATCTCAGCCTGTCAGTAACTTGCTTCATTTCATTAATGTTTTGCTCACAGTCGTGTTATAAGGCAGGCAGTTCCATTAGCAATGATAATAGCAAAATAAAAATAAGTACTGTTGATTATATAGACAATGATCTGAGCCTTCACATTCACTATCTCATTTAACCCTTAAAAGCTCTTAAGGCCTGGGGAGCTCTTAGATTTTTTTCAATTTTTATTTATTTATTTGTTTCAATGGCAAAGAGAAAGATATTCTATCTGCTGGTTCACTCCCCAAATGCTTGCAACAGCACAGGGCTGGGCCTGAATTAAGCTAAGAGCCCAAACTCAATCAAAAATTTCCCACATGGGTAGCAGGGAGCCAACCATTTGAGACATCACCTGCTGCCTTCCAATGTGCACATTAGCAGGAAGCTAGAATCTGGAATGGAGCAAGCACTCCAACCCAGGTACTCTGATACAGCATACTGCAGCCTCAGGTGGCATTTCAACTGCTACATCCAGGCTGTCAGATTTTGAGGCCACTCACCAATCTCCATGCTCTCAACCACAGTTGATGGATTCCACTTTAGGATCAAATTTTGTGATAATAATTTGCCTAGCAATTCTGAACAAATTTATTTTTTTAAAGATTTACTTATTTATTTGGCAAGCAGAGCAATAGAGTGAGAGAGAGAGAGAGAGGGAGAGGGAGAGAGCAAGAGTGAGAAAGAGAGAGCGAGAGATTTTCTATTTGTTGGTTCACTTTCCAAATGGCTGCAACAGCCAGGGTTGGACCAGGCTAAAGCCAGGAGGCAGAAATCCCATCATGATGTCTGATATGGGTGGCAGGGATGCAAGTACTTGAGCTGTGGCTTTCCCAGGTGCATTAACAGAAACCTGAGTCAGAAGTGGAGTTGGGAATTGAACCCAGCCACTCTGATATGGGATGTGGACATCCCAGCAGTGTCTTTCTTTTTTAAAACATTAATTTAATCTTTTGAAAGAGTTGAGAGAGAGAGAGAGAGAGAGAGAGAGAGAGATTCCATCCACTGGACCACTCCCCAAATGGCAGCAATGCCAGGGCGGGTGAGGCCAAAGCCAGGAGCCTGAAACTTCGTCAGCATCTCCCACATAGGCATCAGGGACACAAGCACTTGGACCATCTTCCACTGCCCAGATCAAAAGCAGAGCAGTCAGGACTCAAACCAGCACTCTGATATACCATCACAAATGGTAGCTTAATCCCCTGGGTTACAACAGCCTTTGCATAACTTTATTATGAGGCAGCAGTTTATATTTGATACCCACCTGGAACTGAGGTCACCCTTATATGATCCCTCTTTCTGCTTCTCTTTTGCCAATCCAGATTCACTCAGAAAGTCTGTGAGGATAATGAGGCTCAAAGTAAACAACAAGTAATCTTTTTTAAAAAAGATTAATTTATTTATTTTAAAGGCAGAGTTACAGAGAAGGAGAGAGAGAGAGAGAGAGAGAGACATGGACGTAGACATAGACATAGACATAGACATAGACATAGACATAGATAGGTGTCTTCCATCCGCTGGTTCACTCCCCAAATGGCTGCAACGGCTGGAGCTGTGCCTATCCAAAGCCAGGAGTCAGGCTCTTCTTCTGGGTCTCCCATATGGGTGCAGGGGTCCAAGGACTTGGGCCATCTTCTACTGCTTTCCCAGGCCATAGCAGAGAGCTGGATCAGAAGTGGAGCAGTTGGGTCCAGCGCCACGGCTCACTTGGCTAATCCTCTGCCTGCGGCGCCA